GGGGGGGGGCGGGGAAACAAAAAAAAACCAACAAACCCACACCATGAAAAGATGCAGAGCAGCTTCAGACAGCTGGTACCAGCTACCATGATGCTATTACCACATTTTCCTCATCCCCTCTTCAAAGAGACAGGAATTTCCCAGCACCTTTAAGCAAACAATGCAAGCAACCAAAGTTTCCCTCCATCCCTGTTCCTAACAGCCATTTCATTTCTTATTTTCCAGGATCTGTCTACACAGTCTTTTGTCAACAGATTAAAGTCACTTTGACTGAGCTTCAGCTGTCTGGGTATAACAAGTTTAGACCAGGAGTCCTGTAACCACATTTTAAAGCTCTGTGCTTGAGACACTAAGGCCTGCCTTTGAGAGCACTAGTTACAGGAGAGTAAACAGAAGCTGTGTAAGATTTAGAAAACAGGAATTTGTAAGACCACCATTTTTAAAACCTCTTGGTCTCTCAAGATGATTCAGAAACTTGTGATTTTTTTTTTTATTATGCATTTCCTCCAGCAGCTCTTGTTCCTTTTTTTGTTTGAATGATTTAACAAAAACCATTCTGGAGGTTAGGGGGTTTTTGTTTGGTTTTTAATTTGGGACTTTTTTAGTTAGGTGGTTTTTTTATATTAAAAAAAATTTACTACATCTGCAGCAAACATGAAGCTTATATGAAGCCATCATGTCAAAGCATAATTTCTTTTATCCAGGTGTCTACAGTACTTTGCATGTACCTGAAGGACATTTATTTTATCCAACTGCTCAACAGTTTTAACATTACAAAATTAAAAAATTAAAACAGGCTGAATGTATTCTACAAGACTGGACCAAATTTAAAAAAAAAACAGACCCAAAAAAGTCCCCAACACCAAAAAACAACCACACACACTACAAGTTAGGAAACTTCTATCTTTCTTCTAAGACAAGATTGGCTTTTGAAGTCCAAGATATTTAACCCACTTTAGAACGTTCCCCCACCCCCAAGAAAATAAAATAGGTATTTTAACATCAGAATTCAAACATGTATGTAAAGTACTTGAAGACACACAGGAAGCTAAGTACAAATTAGCCATCAGGTATCTCACCTGATTAAATATGAAGTATTGTCAAATGCTGTATACCTAGAAAACCTACAGTGTATTAAGATGTAAGTTAAACTCTGAAACAAGTTCATTTCTCCACAAAACCTTGGAAAGCAAAACCAAACTTGCTTCAAGCAAGCTAACACACCCTCCAAAGGCATTCTGACACTCTGTGGCAAATGGTGAAAGCTACCACACAGTATAGAACAGCGACCCACCATATTTTCAACTAGCAGAGGGCATTGACACCTCTAAACTGCTATAAGTCTCAAGATCCTAAGGCAGGAAGGTCTGTAGAGAACTAATGGCCTCAACTACATTTAGTTTCCAGAAGGTAGGTAGACCTACACATCACCTTCCACTGTTCCAAGTTTTGCCACTTTCTTTTCCCTCAGACACAGGCCCTAGCTGGAATTCAACACAAAGAAAGTGTAAATTTTAGCATTTAAAAAAAAAAACAAACACCTTTTTCCACAGCCTAATTTTGAAGTGAGCAGTGAACACCATGGCAAACTGGTAATATGTACAGTTGTCATACCTAAATATTTCACTTTTGTGCTGACAGTATACACAGAAAACATCAAAAGTCAGCAGTTGTGTGTTAGCATAGTCTGACATTTAGTTTACAGTTATAACCTTCAGAGATGGAATAAACAATATGCCAGTTAATCTTTAGCTTGAACTGACTCTACAAGGGAAATTATGTCATGCCTGAGTTGATGCATTGTTAGGAAAAACAAACATAAAAATCTTTCCTCTAATGCAAAAACATCTGAAGACTTGAAGTATGCCTCCATATACCTATATGCAAGCTTATCACACCAAATGCACAGACTGCCAGAACAGGAGCTCAAAAGAAAGCAAGAGAAGTGTTCTTCAGAATCACCAGCACCCCATCTTCCTTCTACTTTATAGACCAGAACAAACCGCTCTGATCTGCCTCTAACAGGTGCATCAGAAGCAAGCAGTTTCCCCTCATTTACTAATGTGCTTCATTCCAGAAATGAGTCAATATAGCTGCACTGACTTTTCAACAAATCCCTTCAAGCACCAGCCTCAAAGACACCATGACATCCAAACCTGCCCATTGTAAAAAGGACATGTCCAAAATAGATATAATTTTATTTCTTCCTTAGAAGTACCAAAAGTGCTGCTGATGTTTTCCAGTAATTAATGATAAGGAAACTCCTCAGCCAAGGAACTACTTATCTTCACGATGCTCCACAATCCCTCTGGCACCATTTAAGTTCATCCTTGAAGCTACCTTAGCCAGACAACCAGGCTGTTATCAGTAAATACAAGACACAAAGATTACATTTATTTCAGAGCAATAATAAACAGGATACACTGTCATTGACATAGAGAGGGCACCAAGCATTGAACAGTCTTACTATAGGATCACAAACACTAGCCAGATGCACTACAGTAGTCTCCAAAGCGTGGCTAACCCATCAAAGAGAGGAAATAACTAGTACATTCTTCTTTCATAGATTCCAGAACAAAACAAAGTCAAATTCTACATCTAGAATCTGAAAAAGAACCATCAACCCTGCCTCCTGGTCAAAGGAAGTTACACAGAAGTTTGCTGATAGACAAACAAAACTCCCCCATCCTTATTCGGCACCAGAGAGAACCCCAAGAATAAAGGAAAATTAGAAGTGGTAGACCACATAAAGCACAGTCAAGTAATTAATACTACATATGTATTCAAAACACAACTCCTTGCCAAACAGAACCATCCCCTATACTAACAAAAGCAACAGATGAATCTCACCAGCCCTATAGTCTGAACCACTAGAGAATCAGTGAAAAAGACTACCTGATACGCACTTACATTGACAGTGAACAACTGTATTCCCACTTGCATCCTGAATAACCAGCTGTTCACTTGCCACTAGGACAGCACAGGAACAGCTGGCTCAGGCTTCCTCAGGACACAGTTCCTATCAGATGGATAACAGGGCTCACAGTAACAGCAAAAGCCACTCAGACTGTTTGCAAAGTGCTTGGTAGCTGCCACTGTCAAGTTGCCACACCAGCCTTCCTCTTCCGCCTGCAAAGCCACTGTAATGTCACACTATAAACTGAACGAGGAACTGATCCATCTGAAAAATAGCCTAGAAAAAAGGACATTTCCTCAGCAGATCAGTTCCTTTATCCAGATTTATCATGCATATAATCCCAAAGAGAAAAAAATAACACAACTGAATGAGTGGAATAAGCAAGACTGAGCTACACAGCGTATGGCAAAGCAGGTAGTCATTAATAAGCTTCTACTGGGTTAGCATTTCTCAGCTTGCATGTGTACAGTTTTGCAACAGTATTTTAATAGATAGCATATATTTATGTATGCATCACAGCAATCTGAAAAAAACTACTTTTTGTGAAGTGGTGTAATGCTGATGATCACAAGCATCATCAGTATGGTCTGTACCTCCAGAGTCATCAAAATTTCTGCCACTACAGTTACAAAGCAACAAACACTGAAGTAATTTGTTATTAGACACGGACCTTCAATAGATAATACCAATTTACACTTTACTAATATTCTTCATAGGTACACATCATGAGGAATGCAGGGCTACAAGAATCTTGCATTTCACTTCAGAGTAGAGAGGACTAGTAAAAGCCTGTTTCTTCTCCCTGTTCCCCACCTCACACACAAATCTATTTTTCTCAGCATGTCCCTATATCCTCTTTGGACAAGATTTCTCTCATTACTCCCAGTGACATTATATATGTTCCAAAGTAAACTCTGAGCTTATCTGAAACAGCAGCACAGCTCTCCCCAGACTGAAGTATTTGTTTCAGCCTACTCCCCGATTTATTTGCTTCAATTGCTCTCCAGCACTATTCTTCCTTTAGTTAAGGTACAGATTATTTCCTGGACTACCAGTCCAGTTTTTCTAGTACAATTTGTATTCACACAAAAGCATTTCAGCAATAGAGATAACATACCTACATATAAGACAACTCTTACTATAAACTTTTCTTACTTCAGTACTGATCCAATAAGGCTAAAATTGAGAATGGTGTTTGAATGATGAGGGGAAAAAAAATGGACAGTTTTATCACACGTTTGTGCAAAATTATATTATTTGCTATTACAGCCTTCAGTTCACATAAATAGCGTTCCCTTTCTGATAGTAAGTCATAAGAAAATTTTTCGTAACTACTTCCATTTAATGTCAATTTTTTCCAACTACTACCATGGGACCAAGATAGAGTGTTCCTCACTGTAACCTAATGTTCCAATGTAACCCAAAATCTCAAAAAATCTAATACTTACGGGGGGGGGGGGGGGGAAAAAAAAAAAAA